AAAATTTAGTCGTAAGAACTCGAGAAGATGATGAAGGCCGAGCATTATTTACGTGGTCCCACTCTAGTGCAGTTGAAGTAGATGAAGTTCAAAAGGGGTCATGCCTTGATTACATTGCCACTTCGTCCGATCTTGCATCTTGTGGTACAAGTATCGACCTGAGTGGTTTCGATACAGGTCGCGAGAAGATCGATCATCTGCCTGTAGGGATCGAGTTCAAGACATGGATCGGCACGACATTCCAGAATATGCCAGAGAGAAAGCCTCGTGTTGATGTTGACATCATTAACACTCCGGCAGGAGAGGCTATCTGTAAACAAATTGCACTGTCAATTCCGCAAATCCCGTGGGAAATTGATGCGACCTCCCATGCGCAGATTCTTGAAGAGCATGTGAGTGCTGCTATGTTACAACATTTCCCTAAGCCTAAGAGGCAGCCAAAGAAACCCTTCCTTGACCAAGAAGCTATCCAGTTGGTCAGACAGAGACGTCTCACACAACGCTGGTTGAAGCAGTTAAAAGCCTTTCGTCGTCTTTGCCAGACATGGTTCTTCTTTCAAGCATGGAAGTACCATAAGTGTGAGGATTGCTCCTTGCCTGACTTTCGTAGCTGGAACTCGGAGGGAGGCAGATGCCAAGGACAACTCGACCTTTTTGCGAGAGATCTGATGAGAAGGTACCAGAATGTAGCAAACCACAAGTTGCGGGCCTATGTATCAGATTCGGTTACAGTAGCCTCGCAAGAAGGATTGGATCATCTGTTCCAACGGCTGAGAAAGCTGACCAAATCTCGAAAACACAAGACTAAGTTCAGCTTACCAGCTCTCCAAAAGCCAGACGGGGAAGTAGCCAATACGCCTCTTCAGGTTTATGAAATATGGGAGAAGCATTTCCAAGAATCTGAACGAGGTCAGTTTGTTGATTCGATGGCCCTGCAGCATGAGCACGAAGAAAAAGCATTTCAGCGCTTTGTGGAGACTGCTCAATCCAACGAAGTGTTTACTTCGGCTGATGTCCCCACGCTTCAAGAGTGTGAACAAGCGCTATTGAAATTTGCCAGAAAGAGAGCGCCGGGACTCTCTGGAATACCAATTGACCTCTTGAGGAATGCTGCACCAGACTTTGCACGCAAAGCTTATCCACTTGTGCTCAAATCTGTACTACGATTCGAAGAGCCGCTACAGTGGCAAGGCGGCCTCATTGTGCCGATCCCGAAAAGCAATGGAATCTCACCGCACGCAAAAGATTGGAGACAGATTAGTCTTCAAGAGGGGCTGGCAAAAATGACGCATAGAGCATACCGTGAGAAGCTGATGCCATATTTCGAGTCTTTTGCCTCCCCACTGCAAGGAGGAGCCAGAAGAGGCATGCCAACGTCACTGCCAGCGCAAGCAGTACGATTGTTCCAAGGTGCCTGCCATCAGAAGAAAATCAGCTCAATGGTGATATTCCTAGACGCAAAGCAAGCATATTACCAAATTGCTCGGGACGTGCTATGGTTCCGGCAGTGGCCACCAGATAGGCAAAGGGATTTCCTGGGTCGCATGCCATGTTCGGAGCACATGAAGCGGCAAATAGGAGAGGTATTCTCTGTTCGCTGTCCACTTGAACAATGTTCTGTGCCCAGCAAGATAGGTAACATCATCCAATCACTCTTTGAAGATGTGTGGACCACAATGGGAGTCAAAGGCATGCCGTCATGCTCCATGACTGGGACGCGTCCGGGAGACCCGCTGGCAGATCTCCTGTGGTCAATCGCATTTGGGAGTGCAATCCGACAGTTAAAGTCTGATTTTACCGAGCTTGATCTCGTTGTACAGCTTGACAGTAGAAGGTTCACATGCCTTCCAATATGGGCTGATGACCTTTGTGTACTAGTGTCGCATTCAGATCCATTCCGATTGATCGAACTTGCCAGCATAGCCTGTAATCGCCTTTCAAAGGCATTCGCTAGCTTAGCTGTCGAGCTAAATCTTGGAAAAGGAAAGACTGAAATTATTTTCAGCTTCCATGGACTAAATGCCACTAAGGCCAAGCGCCAAGTTGCAATAGATATGGGCAATCAGATCTCATTTCAGGATTTTGAAGGCACAAATAGGTTCGTGCATGTTGCTAATACCTATAAGCATCTTGGAGGGCTAGTGGGTAGAGCTCACCAATTTCGAACGGAAGTCCGCTCTAGAGCAGGGATTGCCGGCAGCGCTTTTCGAGCTCTACGCAAGCATGTCTTTGCTAATCGAAATATCTCCAGAGAAGTCAAGCTGCACATTTATGACGCAATTGTTAGATCTAAGTTCTATCACCATGCGTCATGCTGGTCATTTACGACGCAACAGGAATGGCAAGTGTTTGATACGGCTGCATTCCGGCTCTTGAGATCACTTGCAGTGGTCCTGCATGGACATGAGTGGAAGGAGGCTTCCAACGAGAAGATTGTTGCCAGATTAGGAGTTTTGCATCCGAGACAGCTACTGAGAATTGAAAGGCTACGGCAATTTCAAAAGATTTGTCAGTTTGCTGATGCGGATTTCTGGGCAATCTTGGAGGGAGAATCAAACTGGCTCCATAATATGCTATACTCTGACCTGCTCTGGCTTAGAGAGAATCGTCTGTGCCCAGACTGGCTTTGTATTCCTGAGGCTTCACAGGTTCAAGGTCTAGCTACATTATTGGCAGACAAAGGGGCAGAATGGAAGACGCATCTCAAGCAGGTAGGAAAAGCATGTCGCCATCATGCTCAGAGGTTGCAGGAAGCCCAGGAGTTTGAATGTAAAGCACTCCAGATGCTGAGACAAATTGGCGTCATTTCTTTCGAGCAGACACACGGTAATATGCAGAAAGCAGTCAAAGTTCCTTCCGTTGCCAATTTTGCGATAAGATTTTTGGCACATTGAAAGCCCTTGGAGTGCACAAGCATAGACAGCATGAAGTCTTCTCTGCACAGTATTACTATGCGAAAGGAAACACATGCCCGGTCTGCCTAAAGTATTATGGCAATAGTGAAGCGCTTCAGCAGCACTGGCAATATAAGAGGGGCACATGCTGGAGCATTATCCAGGAAAGTGATCTCGACCCGGAAGATTTTGGAGGTGATAGAATTGCCAGAGAGTTCGAGATTCCGCCGCTAGCGGGAATGCAATGTGCAGGACCCAAAGCATGGTGGTCTACACTTCGACCTTTGGTGCAGGATGAATCGTCGGGTGTCGAAAATGCAGAAGCCTTCGAGGAAGCTGCAATCCATTACCTCCTCAGCTTAGCTCCTGTTGAAGAAGAACTGCACTCATTCTTAGATGGCGTTAAAAGCGCAGCATCCTTTTTGCTTCGCACCTTCGGCCAAGAGTATTTAAAGCAGGAGGGCGCAATTCGCATGGCAAGCAAGACCATCGCATTATGCTCTCCGGAACATAGAAGATACTTTGGTCGTGTCTGGGACGTCCTGAAAGGACTATGGCAACAAATTGCAGTTCCAACCGAGTCCCTGGACTGGAATGGACTCATTTGCGGCAATATAGCGTTTGTTGTTGACTGCAACTTTCGTGCATTGTCCTTGGACTGTGTTCCCAAGCAAAGAGCCAAATATGTGCTTCATCTTTTCAGTGGTCGTAGACGTGAAGCGGATACCCAGTACTGGATTGAAGAGCTTGCAAGACAGATGGGCTGTTCAGTGATTTGTCTTTCGTTCGACCTCGCAATAGATGAAAGATGTGACCTACTCGCTGTACAGGCACAGTCTTGGCTGAGGCAGATGGTCAAGGCGGGTCGCATACTGGCGCTCATAGCAGGTCCGCCATGCGAAACCTGGTCAAGGGCGAGAGGAGTCCGTCTTCATGACGAGGGCAGTGTCAACCAGCCCAGAGTCCTCCGAACCAACCAGGAACCTTGGGGGATGGTTGGAATGAGTCAGCAAGAACATACTCAATGCATTGTTGGCTCACGGCTCTTGCAGTTTACAATCCTCTTAGTGCTAGATTGCATTGGAGCCGCAACAAGCTGCCTGATTGAGCATCCAGAGGAACCACAAGACGATGCAAGTTTGGCGTCGATTTGGCGCCTGAGGGTCCTACGAGCAATGTTGGCGCTGCTACCCATGAGAAGGCTCCGAGTCTGGCAGGGACAGTTCGGAGCCAAGTCTCCAAAGCCCACAGCGTTGATGGTACATGGCCTTCGTATACTTGAAAGCCGTCTTCAGCAACAACGATCGTTCGAAATGCCTGCAACTCGATCGATAGGTCGCACAGCTGAGGGTAACTTTGCTACTTGCGAGCTGAAGGAATACCCTTCGAGGCTGTGCTTAGGCATAGCACATGCAGTTGTTGACAGCTTCAAAGAAGCTCAGGCAGGCAACCCGGACCCCGAGGAGACCGAGATTAAGGATGATGCTTTCCTCGAAGCAGCTCAGTCTCCGTGGGATCCGTACATCCCTACCGCTATGCGACACGACTTTTGTCGCAAGCGGTAGGACACTCCGACCACTTGGGTCGTTGAGAGAGGTCTCACCCCCATTCCCAAAGAGGCAACAAGACAGTGAGTCTGCGTGCCAAAAAAAAAAAATAATAATACTTGGCCTCCTCTGGTGTTAGCAGGAGTAAATACCATGTGGGATTCATCCCAAGTTGAAAAAACAACTCACAGCAATCCATGACTCTCCACTACTAGCCATGACTATCCATGGCATACCCAAGAAGTACCATGGTGATCCACTTCCGGAAGGCTCTTCGCCTAAAAGCATCCACAAAATCCCACATGTTTTGTTCATATGTCATGTTTTTTCCGCTGCAACTGTGCGACCAAGCGGCCGAGAAAACATGTAGAAAGTTGATCCGACAAAATGTCATGAAAACTCCAGTGAACAAACAACACAAAAGGAAAACGACCATCTGCGTTGATTCTTCCCATCTTCCACTCCATTCATCTTGGTTCTCCGTTTCGTCCACTTCAACCCATCACACGGAACCCAAGATCGATTCCCACCGCCCCCGTCCCCGGTCCCTCCAGGTGTCCCACCGTGGAGATGGTCACACGGCTTTGCGGCAACGCCAACGAGCCCAGCTGACCGAGATCCGTCATGGTCTTCACCGCGCTCACCACGGCATCCTCAGGCGGTCCAGACCCGTGTGGTGGTCCAGACCGGTGCTGTCCTATCTGGAGATGCAGTTGTGGTTGGCATGGATGGGGACATACCAGGATCATCCAATGGGTGTCCTAGCTAGACTACCCTACGTAAACAGGTCTCCAAACAGGGCACCCGGACAGGAAGTGCTAGGTAGTGACGTTGTGTTGAAGACATGTGAAACACTGTCCACATGTCAGGTGAGCATCCCGATGTTTCGCTGAGAAGCTTGGGTCAGGCACCTTGATCTGGTTTTGTGTATGGCAAGTGGTGCAGGGTTTATGCCGTGCCCAGGAGCCTGATTTCTAGATTATTGCATCTTGAAGCATCACCAGCAAGGACGTGTCTGATATCCTGTAAACGAACGTCACAACGGTCGCTCAAACGTATGTTGAGTGCATCGCAAACCAACAAAAGAGTCGAATTGATCTCAGGGGTGTGCAATATAACCCCCCAAAATGCCGTCAAACCATCTTGCCAGGACAGTGCCCTCAACTGTATACGGACATCCTGTCTCTCTTTTGCGAAAGATTTGGGAGCCCACTGGGGAGCCTCAATACCACGCTATACCACTGGGGGCGATGTTTCTGGCGCGCCCTTGCTGGGACTATACCTCCCTCCTCTTCCTCCAGGCGGCGTAGTTGTTCAATGGCTCTCCCATGCCCATGAAGACCGCGTTCCGCACCGGGGCCAAGCCCTGCTGAGCTTCTAAGCGCTGTGCCATCAACAGCCTGTGCGCCAACACGCATCTGCTTTCCTGCGGACCCCTTGTTAAACCCATTTGACAAGACATGTTGGATGTTGCCATGGAAATCATGGATGTTCTCGAGGTGTCTTTTGGAGCTGGACGCGATCTCTGATTTTTCCAGGTCCCATGTTCAGTGCTGTGGCTTCGTCTGAAACCTTGCTGCGTGACATGGACCGCCAGCGGTTGTTTGGTGCACTTCCAAGTACCAAACATCTCTGCACACTGTGTCTCTTTCTCTGCATCTTTCCCGAGCTGTTCTTTCAGCAGCATGAAAACTCAACCTTTGATTGGTGTCCAATAAGAACATATTATCAAACGGGCCAGGAGCCCGTTGGGGAATACTGGTTGGTTTCCAAAATGTAACGTTTATCTATTTTCAGTAGGTCTTTTTGAGCGCAGTATCCGGACATTTTGTTTTTGATCACATGTTCCGCCTCTCCTCCGACCCATCCATGACCGGGCGGCTGCTCCACGATCTCCCCGGCATCTAAATCCTTAGGAAGAGACCGGGGTCGGTCTATCCTACCAGTGACAGTTGATGATGGGGCCTGGTTGCAGGGCCGGGTCCTTCAAACATAGCGAAAGGCTTGGTTGACCGGTCCTGTGAAAGGCCGAAGTTCGGGCGAACCAGCGGATTTGCTTGAAGCAACGGGAAAAACATGTATTTCCCCGCTACGAACGGAGCGATCGGACGCTACTAGGGGCTCCTGGCCGTACTACTAGGAGCAAGGACGATATTAGGAGCAAAGGGCTTCCTAAGGGGATTTACCCATGGCGGAGAATCACAACCACCCGAAGCAGCAAAGCCGGGTCAATCTCCGGTCACAATAGGAGCGCTACAGTAGTACTACAGTACTACAGTAGGTGGGCGGCCATCGCTCTTAGGTTGGAGGCGATCGGTAGGGTGGAACCCATTGCTCATTTGTTATAGGCCATGGGGATAGAACGGTTGCAATAGGAGCGTGTCCTTCACTGATCCCCTGGAGCTTCAGCTCTGCGAAGCGACAAGACCCGAGCGGCTCCGAAATCGAGCAACACGAACGACCCAAATCCCAAGGAACGTAGGACTTGTGACCCACAAACCAGCGTCAGCATTGACAGGCCTGACCGGGGTCTGACCGTTTTTTTTTTGGCTCGGCCGAGGCACTCCAACCACTGGAAGGGTACCCGTCGCGCAGAACGTACAGCCCATCTGGCACCCCACCTGCGAACGCCGCCCACGGCGTTTGTACAAAGGTTGCACAAAAAACTACCTGCACAAAGCGTCCTGTGTCGCGTGGTTCCTGGCCACGAAAACATATCATAATATAGTATAACCTGGACCCTCAACAATTAATATAAGAATCTTATTCACTATTGGGATGTCTTATGATTTCTTTCCTATTGGGCCGGCTTGGCCGATTCCAACCAAAAGTGAACGGTTTCAACCAAAAATGAACGTTAGCACTGCTCCTTTTCTTTTCTTGACGCGCACACTTTAGCGGGTCCAATCAAGTGGAACACCCGTAAGCCACAGTGCAAACAAGTGTGCGATCAATGAACATCTGACAGGCTCAAATAGATAGAAAGCGTGAAAGGCCGACCTGCAGTTTGTACAAGAGATTTTTATTGTTGGATAGCACGTCCCTTTTCCACTCATCATCCCAAGGGAAGCCTCTCTGTTCCAGTTGTGTGATGGGAACTGGATGAAATCCTGAAAGTCATCAAAAAGCCAAGAGTACAGACATTCCGATTTGCGTACTTTTGCGGGTTTTTGTGCACTATTTGCGTGCTTTTGCGTAGTATTTGCTGATTTCTCTGTACTTGTTGTGTCTGACATCTTTACACATTAAATGTTGCATATCGAGTCGAGTGAAAACAAATAGCAGCATTTGTTGAGGGATGCTTCCATGTCCTGAATTAGTGGGGGCTCACTCAGCATCCAGCTCTTCAAAACGTGCGTGCTAGGAATTAGGTACCTTTGTTTTCGACCCTGTCAAAGCGCCTTCAAATTGCTGTCGGTTATTTTTGTCTTTGCAAACCTCCAAAGGTCAAACGGTCAAACTTCCTATACACAGTCCAATCGTCCATATCATATCAATTCTTCATAAATTGAACGATTCTTCTTTCTCAGCTCCAATTATTGAACTATTGGGCCAGAATGTCCATTTTGAACGGTTTGAAGGTTTGCGACCTTTTGCGGCCAAAAGTGTTGAAACATGTTGAAACAACCTAAGACAATTCTTCACGTGTGAAGATTCAGGAATATTAATATGCTTGTGTTCCAACGGATTGCCGACGGTTTCCGTGAGAATTTGGAGTTGCCTGGCAGGTCTGGTCTCCCACACCGGGGGATGCCTGTCACCGAAGGCTCATCGCTGTGCTCAGTCGATCGATCGATGCCTTCACCGAGGTCTGCAGTTCGAGGCCTTCGGATTGACCCTCCAATGACTCGTCCATGAGCCTCCTTCCTTCAACAGATCGAGCCTCCTTCCCGCAAGTTTCAGATGCAAATCCTTTGGCAGAACTGATGAATCCACTGATGAACAGGGGGGAATCTGCGATTTAGATGTTCTTTTGGATGTCCAGTGTGCCACTCTGTGCCACTTGCTGTGCTTCTCCGCCACACCGGATCCAACCCGCCTGCGAGGAGACGCAAATGGTGGTGCGATCCTCATGGCGCATCACCACGGATTCCACCTCTGGTCCCGCGCGGCGCAGCGGGCGCGCGGACTAAGGAAAACGGCTGGTGGGTTCGTCAAGAGCCGGAAAAAAAGGGTCACCGGTCGCCTTGTTTGAACCAGGAGAAACTGATTCCCCGTGTTCGTGGTATAGACATCAAATGAGACTGATTCTCACTTCGTTCACCAAAGGGTAACTGGTGACGGTTTCGTCCGGACCCAAACATCGACGAAGTGGTTGGGTCTTCAGCCGCGCGGTGCTCGGCCCACCTTGTGGCCATCCCAAAGCTCGATGACCATCTTACCTCAGGCTTCTGCGATAGGTTTGGACTGAGAGTTGCAGTGCCGGATGAAGGAAGATCAAAAAAATGGATCGATCAATGGGTGGAGACACATCACATATCATCACATCTTCTTTCTTGCAACATCTTGCAATCCATTTTCTACCCGAGACCTGTTAACTACAATTGCAAAGGCACGTTCTGCACGTTCCTCCCATTTCAGACAATTCGGCACGGTGCATCTTCACCCTGCCGTACCTGTGGCAGTCCTCCTCAACTTGAGATCGAGTGGCAGGTGGATTGGTCTGCAGAGGTCAGGGCCGTACTCAACTTGTTGCTGAAGGGCCGCGTCCTCCGTACTCAACTTGTCACGGATCCATTTCGTTTCTTCTTCGAAGGAAACACGATCCCCTAGACTTCCGGTTCGACCATTAAAAATAATGGGAACGACCTGGTTTTGTAAAATCCTTAGTTGATAAGGGATTCAGCCTATTGAGTTCATGGTTGTTGGAAGCCTAGGGAATCTCGACCGCCTAAGCAAATCGCTTGCGTTGGTTCAACGACTCACGCGAGCCTTGGTCACGAGCAACATGGGCTCACCCGAGCAACAGCAGTACGAGCGCTCCAACTGATCTTCGGTCACTTTGGGTCAAAGCCAACGGTAGTGATGGCAATAGCTCAAGCCTCTCCAACGAGTTGCTCCAGAATGCAACCACCCCTTTGATATGCTTGCTGTACTACCGCTGTACATCACCTACTACTGTAAGGTTTCATGCGTCTTGACCACTCGCCAGCCATTTCCAGAGTTGCTCCAAGTTGGTCCTGCAGAGCGTCCCTTCCACCGACATCGGTGTGGATCTGAATCACCGAAACACGAAGGTCCCCCCCCACAAATCACCTCCGGACCTTGGAACCCTTTGACCGGGTCCATGCGGAGGAATATGTTGGAACACGTTCTTCCGTGCGGAACGTTCTGAACGTTCGGCGTTTGCTCCCCATGCGAAGGCCGCAAGTCATCCATGTCACCTCGAGAAACCGAAATGCACTTTTAACCAAGCCCTTGATCTTATATCGCTATAGCTTTTAGGATACATAACACTATACAAAATATAAACATCAAAACAATATCAAATATAGTACTATATTGTTTTGCAACATACGCCAATCATCTTGACCGCCACCCCCTGCCACGCCCCACGCCTGGTGAGCACTTCGGAGGCCTTTCTCGGAAGTCCCAAATCGAACAGCAGCTGCTCCTGAGGTGGGCTGAGGGCGGTTGATCTCCAAGTTCTGCCCCAAATCGCCCAAACGTTCGCCCTGTCCCAGCGCAGGGCAGTCCCTCAGCGCAGCCAAGGCTCTGTCACACCGAGCTCCTCCCAGCTCAACGCTCCGCTTCCGCTTCCGGCCGTGGGCTCGGTGACTTTGGCCGCCAAGGCCCGCAGCAACGGGCGGCCGTGGCTCCGCTTGATGTCCAGGGAGTCTAACAACCTCAGATCTCTTGTTGTTCGAACCCCAAGAACAGTTATAACTACGCGGATCACATCACACAACACCCAACGATGCAAAGAAACTCAAAGAAAGACTGACAGCTGGAAGCTGCTTTATACGACTTATTTTCTGATGTAGGCAGTCCATCCATTCACGGTGCTTCCCAGACGTCCTTCGCCAAGGAGCTGCAGCAAGGCCGGGAAATCCCAAAAGCTCAACGACCTCGGTCGACTGAACGACCGGTCGTGTTCTTTTTGGAACGACCACCCCGTGGGGGCGACCTTGAGGACATCACTTTTCCGACCGTTTTAACATGTCAAAGGAAACATCGGAAGAGCGATGTTTTCCTGAAAAAAAAACAACATAGAAGCATCTTGTGAAACTAGAACCATCACGGTTGCGTGCTTATCCACCCAAACCGGGGGTTTGGAGCTGTCGCGCTTCGGTACCAAGGTCACCGCTCGGGGCGCTTCCGGCGGATGCGCTTGGGCATGGCGGATGTGTGGAGAGAAGCAGTTGTGGACGTGAAGATCACTATCTGACAAAGCCTGAAGAACATCACTCCTAAGTTATAAGGAGGTAGTTCATAGATCTAAACCTTCAAAGTGTTCCTTTGCTTTGGTGAATCAGTTTGGCATGGGTGGCAAGAACTGCTGTTGAAGAGAAGAGTCCCCATGTGGAAACATCATGAAACATCCATCCCGCCAAGCAAGTCAAACATGTCCTGTTGTTGCCTTCCCCCGTGATGCCGTTCCTGCAAGTTCATTGTGTGTCCTGATGTGTCCTGAAAGGTTGTGTCCTTCTGGAGACATGAATCCATGCTTCGAAGGAAAAAGAAAGAAACACACAGTGCTCAGAACCGGCTGTTTTCTTCCAACTTGAGCTCCTCAAAGCTTCACCGAGCCATGTTGACAGCTTTAAAAAGAGCGTTTCGGACTTTCGTAGTGCACTGTTTCTTTCCTTTCAATTGCTTTACATGAACAAAATATATTGATGGTTGGATTATGGATTTGTTTTAATCCTGTTACGATCGCTGTTTAGTACCAATTAATACATTGATGGTAGTTGGTTTCCACTTAAATTCCTTATAGAACTGGTTTTGGACGTCCTTTCCAACCAAAACCCCTGAAATTATTGAAAGCTAGAATAGAATAATGATATGAAAATTAATATATGTACATGTACAACCAGCTGAAATATTTGTTTATTGAAATTCCCTTTAACGACAAAGCAATGTTACACCTGGTATAATTGTGTCCAAATAGAACTGGTTGATTTATTGAAAGATATTGACTTGCAATAGGTGTCCAATCAAGACCCCTTTGTTTAAACTACTTATATAAAATCAATGAGCGCATCATGTTGCAAGTTGTTTCTAGTAAGTGAGGCAGCCTTAAGGAGATGGAGTGAGTTGATCTTTATGTGGACAGATCTAGCTAGGGCAGAACTCTTTTGTTCAAACAGTTTAAATAGAAGAACATCACAACTAAGAGTTCTTTACATCACAGTTCTTTACATGTATATGTAACTGCAGCACAAGGCTATTTTCAAGCTTCATAACTCCACCCACCACTACCCGCTCTCAAAGGGGGTGCCCGGTACCCGTGGTTTACAAGACAATATCATGCTCCAATTTAAGCATCAATTTTAATTTATCAAAGGTTTTGAAATCAAGAAATTGTTTTAATCAACACATCTGTTAATCAAAATATAGTTTAAACCACTATTGATGTGAATGTTGCATTAAAGACTTTCTGTAGGGAAGTACGACTGTGAGCCAAGCAGACGAAGTAGACCAGAAACCAAAAAAGTGGCAAAGCAAGCTGTATAGGAAAGACAAGACTGTGACTCAAACAAAAGGAAGACATTGACCCGACCCAATAGCCAAACAGCCTTTGCTGTGCTTCATAAGTACCCATTGTCTTTGTTTTAAGTTTCTGTTGTTCTTTTGGTTTACTCAAATGGTTTGGTCGGTGCCAAGCAAACAAAGTAGTGGACGAAACCGAAACGACAAAAACAAAAGGATGGACCCAATAGACTCTGCTAGAAAAACCTACGCGTTGTTTTCTTTAAGGTTTCTTTACTTTTGAGAAGACAGCTCGATGGTTCGCCTGGTCTTGCTCATCGAGGAACTATCGATCTTCGTCACCCATGTGGGAATATGTGGGACCCTTGTGGGGACCTGGGTCTCCGAGTATTCGGAAGGACATCGACTTTAAGGACCGCGCGGGAACCGCCCCAACCCGCACGGAGGATGTTTTTCACTTTGGGAAGCTCTGCTCGCTCAAGACTCCTGCACCTGGCGCGCGCTTGGCACAGAGTGAGTTACCAGATCCTCTAAACATCTAGAAACGCTGCTTGGGGGTCAACAAGAACATGCACCCATCACGCGTAATCCCAGGGGGGGGCTTGTAGGTCTTACACTCCCAAATCCTCCAACTTCCTTGGCCCGGGCTCCGTCTTCCGGCGAGTTGAGAAGCGGTCCGGGGGTTGGCCTTCTATAGGGTCCGGTGGGTGCTCGCTCCGGCTTCTCGAAGTGTTTGGTCTGTCACAAAAAGAATCGAAAATGGTGATCCAGCTCGTTCAGCCCGTTCTGCAGAACTCCAAAAACACCGAGGACTTGCGCAAAACATATATGTGTTCTGCTGACCAACACCAACAGGGCCCATCCAGGTTCCTGATCTTCAACATCAAGGTTCGGCAATCGAGGTGCAGTGGTCGGTCTCGTTTGGCACCTGCTTTTCGGCCGTGGCCACTTTCATCTGCTCAAAGTAGGCCAAGGTCCTCAAGAGGACGTGGCCACGAGCCAACACGTCAGGGCAGGTCACCACGGCTACCCCGGCCGCTTCCCGACTAAACCACGTACGTGGACGTACAACAAAAATAGAATCAGAATGCACCATCGGAACAAATGGGGCAATTCCTTTGAATCAATGCAACATGTCAACCATGTCACATGTCACATGTCCTCACTTCCCAAAGAAGTGTCTCCAAGAAGTCACATATTATATATGTGAATTTGTATGCATTGGAACATGCATATCATGATATGAGATGGCGGCCCTCTCATGTGACCATTTTGGCACAAGGGCCCTTGAGTCTGGCTCATCCGAGCCCCCGACGGTTGCGCAATGGAAAAGTGAGCGTACCGCTTGCTTTTGATCGCGACGGAGTTCTTTGATCCCCGTTGGTTGAGTTGTGACAGTTGCCTTTACAAGTTGCTGTTGATCCTCCGCTCACCATTTTACATGGTAGCGGAGCTGCCAAGCTCCAGGATTGCTTTGTGAGGTCCCGGCCTGATCCCGGGTGCGGTGCAAACCGCAGAGCAGCTCGTGCCATCTAGGTACATTGCTTGTGCAGTGGTGCAAAGTTGAGTTGACGTTGATTGTTGAGCATTGACATTGATTGTTGGTTGTGGAACATTGTTGTTTGTTGTTGGCAGTTTGAGCCATGGACTACAAAGACACTCTCAAAGACCTCTACTTCGATGGGAAGCCAAGCGGATATCGTGAGTTCAGACGCAAGCTGATCCTTGGTGTTGCATCCCTTGAGGACAAGCAACAACACCTGGCCGGTCCTCGAGTCCTCGGAAGATTGTCTGGCGAAGCTTGGAAAGCGACCGAAAACATTCCAATTGCTGACCTTCGATGTGAACAAGGCTGGCTGCAAATTGTTCGGACGCTTGATCAGCACTATCGTTATTTGCCCGAGACCGAGCTCCACGAGGCCATAGATGAGTTCCTTTTTGGGTTGAAGCGGAAGGGACATGAGGGAGCCACTTCCTTCACCTCCCGGTTCAAGACAAGTCTGCATCGCCTGGAAACGCTCATCTCACAGGAGCGTCAGCTGTCCAAGAAGCAACCGAAGTCCGCAGTCGAAGAAGAAAAGAAAAAGGAAGATTCGAGTAGTTTGGAAGAGTCGGACGAACATGCCCTACCTCCAGACGATCCCAATGAACAAACAGATGAAACTGAACAAGAAGTTGAAGATGAAGTCCGGCCAGAAGCCAAGGCCAGAGCAGCACCTCCTCCAGGTCCTTTTGATCCTCCCCTTGATCCTCATCGTCGGACCGGATCCACTCCATCGGTCCGAAGTGCGAAGTCGAGCTCAAAGGCTTCACAGGGGAAGTCCACTGGGACTCAGAAAGGTGACCAGCGAAAAGATCATCTCCGTATGCAACGTCTTCTTGGAACGTTGGAGCAGTCGCATACAAAGCCAAAACCGATTTTTCCACAGTCAGTTTTGGGACACTTGTTCATGAGAAAGTTTGGTTTGTCGCGTGAGCAACGCAGCCACATCATTCGTTCAACAGGCGGCTCCAGTCGATTTGTTGACATTGAGAAGATTTTGCGTGCTAGTGACTATGAGGAGAGATTGGATGACCGGCGACCACGGCTGGACGATCGTCGACAGGTGAGACCACGACGCGAAGCCTATGCTGTTGAACAAGTTGCTGAAGCTTCATCCACCTCCATAGACCCACTTTCTGACTCCGGGTCTGGTGAAGAGGCCTACCAAGTTGAGGGTGGCGAAACATCTCTGGGTTCAGGTTCTGAGGAAGAGCTGCAGGAGATCTATGAGATTCAGAAGAAAGCAAAGAAAGAATTCAAGAAACAGTTTCGCACCTACAAGGAGTCAAAGAAGAAGGTGAGGGAAATCAAAAGAGCACGACAACCATACATGCCGGTGGTGGCCATTCCACCCACCGAAGGCGGCCAGTCCCAGGCTCCACTGGGAACTCAGGCTGCGTCGTCCAAAACACCACGCTATGAGAAAAGGTCCTTTGACAAGAAGTCGCCACAAAAGGACCCAAAGAAGAAACCACCGAGGCGTGAGGACGCCAACCTGACAGAAGCTGTGGAAATTGTTGACAGGACATTGACCGAGTTCAACTATGCCCTGACTGAGTCCACCGCTGCTGAACTGGAAATTCTCCTGGCCTCAATTCCATCGGGTTTTGCAATCATTGATACTGGTTGTACAACATCCGTTGTTGGCGAGGAAACAGCACAGAGATATGAGCAGGTTTTCAGACAATGCAATTTTCCTCCACCCGTGCGTGTCACTATGCCTACAGTTGAGCTTCGTGGCTTCAATGGTCAGAGCGAAACAACAGCTGTTGGTTTGAAGTGGACAGTACAGCTGGGTTCGTTGAAAGGGAATATCACAACATATGTTGTTCCTGGAAGCGCGCCATTCCTGCTGTCACGAAGGGTGTTGGAGGGTATGCAGGCCACACTGGACTTGGGCCGAATGACCATCACGAGTCCAAAACATGGTATGCAAGATGTACCCCTGAAACAGGCCGCAAATGGCCATCTGCTGTTGTCTCTGGTGCCACAGGTTGCTGAGTGGGAGACAGTCCTCAACGACTCGAATACAAATGAGCCCAATCCGCATGAAGCCCAAGCGATGGACCGCCAGTCCATCTCCGTTGATCTCGAGCACCACCAAGACCTCAGAGGACAGGACACGAACAAAAACAGTGTTTTAAGTGCACCAAAAATGGAGCCAACCCCGTGTGATACTCGGAGGGCGTTTCAAACTGTGTGTAAACATACCAAACGAGGAAACGTCGATTGCAGTGTTTTTCGTGCCGAGCTGTCCCAATTGTTTTCATGTCCCGAACACCCGGTGGTGCATGCCTATGTAGCATATAAACCTAGACTAGAAAGGATTCCTGCCGAAGCCGAACGAACTTCACTTGATATGAATGTAGTCTCTATGGATAAAGATGGAAACATGCTCATGTCAGGATGGATCGTTCGTCCAGCCGGACGGGTCAGAAGACCTGTCAACCCAATGCAGGTTGCGATCTTTGCATTTCGATCCGAGCAAGCACCCTCTGAACCTGAGAGTGCCGGCAGTGAATCCGATCGTGTCGAACCAGCAGAGCCGACGCCATCAGCGCACCAATGTGATTGTTGTTGTAATGATGACATAGAAGGGGATTGGGAATACACCATGCAATCAAACACCCTCGAAACTTTGTATGAAGAGGTTGACTGGGTAGATCTTGACTTGCAGGATGTTCCAAAAGAAACCCAAACGAAACTGAGAGACGCAATCACAGCGGCACGCCGTGTCGGTGTACGCATGGCTTTGTCGCGACTGCTGAGCAATCGGCAGGAAGTGCTTTCAGAACTTCGCCACTGGTTGGGCAACCAGGCTAGTAAACTTGACTCCAAGGTTGGACTCATAGAAGTTTTCACAGGAACAGCCAATTTGTCCAAACAGTTCGAAAAGAGAAACCAGAAAACAGCAATCCAAATTGGGATAGATTATGGACATGATCTTGGTAGGTTGAGGGATAGACGAAATCTCCTATACCTGGTAGCCTTGACAAAGCCTGATCACATTTGGTTTGCTCCCCCATGTAAGTGCTGGGGTCCCTGGTCGAGGTTCAATATGGCATTTTCCGAGTCTAGGAAACAAGAAGTATTGAAAAAGAGACATCAAGCTAGAAGACATCTGCAATGTGTTTCGGAAACATGGCATCTCCAAACCATCCTTGGAGGTCATGTACATGCTGAGAATCCGCACTCGTCCGATATGTGGCAGGAGTTAGTGCTTGGACCAGCCTGGTCAATCCGAATTGACCAATGTGCACTCGGGCTCCGTAGCCCCAAATCCAACATCCCTGTCTTGAAGCCAACTCGGATTGTCAGCACTCAGGAGTCTTTGATGCAGCACCTTGTCCCATTTCGGTGCGATCATAAGCATGGTCATGATCATCTAGAAGGAAACTACAAAGGTAGAAATCTGACATCCTGGGCCGAGACATATCCTAATAAGTTTGCACGTGTCATGGCCGATGGTCTTGCCAAAAGTCTCCATGGACATTCTGGTCCAGATGCAGTAGAGATCTTAGCTCAAGATGAAGAAGAAGATCAACTAGAAGAAGAGATAGAAGATCGATCAGAGAGACTGCCAGACCATGACGAGCCAAATTCGAACAGCCAAAGTTTGAATCCCAAGCAGCTGCGAGTGTCCGCATTGGTTCGTAAATTGCATGTGAACACAGGTCATGCATCGACAGAACAAATGTTGAGGCTCGCGAACCGTTGCCAAGCCAGTCAAGAAATTGTGGACTGCATTCGGAGCTTCCAGTGTCCCATTTGTAATGAACTCAAGCCTCCACCGTCATATCGTAAGAGTGCAATCCCCCATGCAGAGAACCCGAATGACATAGTGGGTATTGATTTTGTTCAAGTAGAACTCAAGAGAGAGGGACGTAATGGGAAAATGACCGAAGTCAAGTTCAACGTGTTGACATGTGTTGATATGGCCACAGGTTTCGCACAACAGATCATCGTTGAACGCGGTCCCAATCAGCTGTCAGTAGCTTTCCATAAGGTGTGGACACGTCCCTACGGCACTCCTAAGATAATATTCATGGACCCTGCCAAGACTAATCTCTCCCAGGATTTCCAAGAGTACCTAACACACCATGGCATTCAGTTGTTGCATGCGGCTGCCGAAGCACACTATCAGCTAGGTCAAGTTGAAATTGCCAATCGCATTCTCAGGAACATGGCCAATCGTTGTTGGCCAGGCACTGACCGTCCACCAGAAGAGGTAATAGAAATGTGTGCAACAACCCGTAATGAACAACTTCGAAAGCATGGTTTCAGCCCAGCACAATGGTTCTTGGGAAGGGACTCACGCCATGTGGGAATGCTTGCCGACTTGGATGAGCAAAGAAATTTTGCTGCCCAGTCGCAAATCCTGTCAGATCCATCGTTTGCATCCAAGATTCGCCTTCGTGAAGAAGCGGCCAAGGCCTTTCATGAAGAACATGCGAAGGATGTTTGGCGAAGAGCTGTAGCCTATAGACATCGTCCCATGCGAGGACCATACGTACAAGGTCAACTTGTATACATGTTTCGAGCAGCAGGAAGAGGTCAGCTTAGCACAAGACATGGTAAGTGGTTAGGACCTGCCAAAGTAATTGGGGTAGAAAGTTCATCAAATAGTCCCATACCACGCCTAGTTTGGACAAGCTATAATGGCTATCTCTATAGATGTCGACCAGAAGGCCTCCGTCCAATGTCCGAAGACGAAACTGAGTTTCGAGCGCTTGCAAGAGAACTTGCATTAGGCCAGCTGGCACCGGAAACGGAAGCTGCAGGTAAATCATTGTCGGAGGGCGTCGCTCGTTTTCATGATCTCACAAAGGACATCCCTGGTCCAGAGGACTTCGAACTCAAGGAAGATGTAGAAGCCGAACCTCATCCTGAGACCATCGATGACAGACCTGATTCGGAGGGTAGACCACATAAGATAAGACGTAGATTCTATCGTTCCCCTGAATATTGGCAAAAGAGATCACGAGGCGAGATTCCACCTCTCGGCAGTATGCATGAACAAGAGTTGAATCAGCAGCCATTTGCCGCTGTTGCTCCTGAAGAGATCCCCGAGGATAGACTTGAGCCAGCCGATAAACGTAGAAGGGTTGTTGAAATTGATTCATCTCCAAGTTATGCACCCACCGAACCGCCAGTTCCTCTTGAAGAAGAGGGATCTCAGTCAGGCTTTCAAATGCACAACGAGCTTGATGAGCTCATGCCTGACCCAGGTGCTGTACCTGCACACCTGGAACCAGAGACAGACACTAATCCGCCCGAATCCGATAGACCCGATAACACCGATGAAGTAATGCCTGAAGTAGACTCACGATCGAACGAGATCGAACCATCTGGCATAGATGTTCCCGTTCCAGAAGCTGGTGAAGACGAACTAGCGGTAACAGCCAGATAACATGTGTTCGAACTTTCCATTGACGTCCATCCCGAAGACATCACTGAGAATCCTCTGTGTCTCTGGAATCTTTTTGAAAAATGCTTGCAAGCTGCGCCGCAGTCCAAGGCGAAGCAAAGAAGGGTTGAAGTCCAGTTCCGCAAACTCAATCCACACGACAAGAAACTGTTTCTCCAAGCTATGCAAAAGGAATGGCAAAGCTGGATTGACAATAAGGTGACTTCACTTTGCAAGGCTAGAGGGATTCCTACAGAAAGAATAATTAGAGCAAGGTGGGTCTTGGTATGGAAAAAGTCATCCGATCCTGATATCACATCCAAAACTCCAAAAGCACGTCTAGTTTTGGTAGGATGGCAGGACCCGGACCTAGGAAAGGTAGCAACAGACAGTCCAACTTTGCGTAAGGAAACAAAGCACCTTGTTCTATCCATTTGTTCAGCATCCAAGTGGAAGCTATGGGGAGCCGACATAAAAACAGCGTTTTTGTCAGGAGATGAATCTTGCAGAAACATTTACTTTCGACCTCCAGCAGAAATCAAACAATGGATGAACTTGAGTACAGATGACCTGTTTCGTCTTGAGAAGGCTGCCTACGGCCTGGCTGAGGCACCACGTGCTTGGTTTTCCCGCCTGACCAGGGAACTTAAGGAAGCAGGGCTAACCCAGAGCCAGTTGGATCCATGTTTGTTTATGTTGAGGAGTAAGTCCGATAACACTTTGAAAGGCATATGTGGAGTACACGTAGATGACCTACTAGGTGGAGGTTGCAAGGAAATGGACCAAGCCTTGGACCGACTCCGAAAGAAATTGCCGTTCGGTGACTATCGTACTTTCACAATAAGATATACAGGAGTAGAGATTCGACAAAATCCAAATACGATGGAAATTGAAGTAGGACAAGAAAATTACATCGAGAATTTGGAACATGTTGAAACGAAGACCTTGGGAAACGCTTCAACGTCCCTTACAGATCCTTCTATCCTTAGAACTTGCGCCGGTCAGTTAGCCTGGGTGTCGAACTCGACACGTCCGGAACAGGCATTCCTGGCTTCGTATCTTCAAGGGGTTCAGGATAAGGGGAAAGTTGAACACGTCCACTTGTACAACAAAGCCGTGAGGGAAATGAAAACTAGAAAAATCTGTTTGAAATTCCCTAACCACGTTCCAGTAAAAGATTGGCACATCGTGTGTATTGCTGATGCTGGCTGGTGTACTAGAGCTAACGGTGAAAGTCAAGGTGGATACATCCTATGTCTTACGACCAAAGACATCATGAAGAACAAGGAATCCCCTGTATGGATAGTAGATTGGAGTTCTAAGAAGTTACGACGAGTAGTTCGTTCCTCAGTAGCAGCAGAAACCATGTCCGGTCAGAATGGACTTGATGCGATTGAGTGGATTCAATCCCTGCTTGCTGAGATCCTAGAAGGCCAATCGCCTCGAACATTCCGAGAACGAGTCCCAGAAAAGACAGCATGCCTCGTTGTTGATAGCAAGGGTTTCTTCGATGCAGTCACAAAATCGTGTAGCTCTCCTACTATTAGCGTAGAGAAGAGACTTCAGATCGACTATGCCATCGCTAAGGAAAGCATGTCCTTGCAGAACATCATGGTCTTTTGGACTAGTAACATTTTCATGTGTGCAGACGTGTTGACTAAACTACGAGCCGACACAGGACCTTTCTATAAACTCGTTGACACTTGGAAATACACCATCCACACCGGAGTAGAGTCAGGTAAGAAAGAAAAAGCCAAGGCTAGAGCTGCAGAAGCAGAGAAACGTCAACTAGATGAGCACTAGGGCCCATGCATGCATGTTGTGAAGTGAATCCAACATTCGCTTGGTGAAACTTGAAAGGAATTTGTTAGTTAGGTTGAGAAACCATCCATTGCCAGCCACCTCGAACCAGTTCGTTGCTGAGGAGTTGTCCTGGTTGTTTTTCTCATTTTTCTTGTGCCGCATCGGTTAAACCGAATTTTGCACAGCCTTTTTGCTCCAAGGAGCGCACGACCGTGAAGTGTCGCCCATTCAGTCCCGCAGGATCATGTCGAAAGCAGCAAAGACCGATGATGAAGAATATCACATCCGGTCACCACTGACGGATCAGGATCTTAGCATGTGTGCCGGCCTTCTCCATCGAGCTGTCCGTTTCGGACAAAGTGCACAGTTGCTCCAGCGTGTGAACGACTGGGTGAAGATTCGTCCAGACCTCCGACCAAATGTTGTGGGAGCTCAGGTCATCGTGGATGCCTCCATGTCCGCCATGACTGATGCTGCGAAGCGACGCATGGATGCCGATGAGACCTCTCAGGCCTCGAATCCGTGGGAGCTCTTGAATGCCAATGAGCCTACCGGTTCAACCATGACACCGGAGCACCTTGCTGTGAGCCCAAAGGGATATGAAGCTGGAAAGGTGAACTTGTTCCCAGTGGCCAATGTGACCGATCCCTTGATTCCCTTGCCTGAAGGAATCAGCACCGTAGAGAAATGGGGACAGACCATCTGTCGTATGGATAAGGTGAAGGCTGAAAGCCTCACGTATGATCAAATGATCATGACGGCCCGCACGAATTCGAAGAAAGGAGAAGACATGCGTCAGTACCTCCAGTTCATTTTGTCAAAGTATGGTACTGGTGGAAAAGTGCCATCCAAGATTACCAAGGCCGTGGACTTTGCCATGTACCTTGAAAAGGTGAAATGGAAGAAGCCTGATTTTGAAGGTCTTGCTGAGAAGTACGGATTCAGCCGAGAGCTGCGTGACTGAACAGTGTCGCTGACAGCATGGTCCCATCTTCGCACCGCCATGAGGGCGTGTGAATTTGTATGCATTGGAACATGCATATCATGATATGAGATGGCGGCCCTCTCATGTGACCATTTTGGCACAAGGGCCCTTGAGTCTGGCTCATCCGAGCCCCCGACGGTTGCGCAATGGAAAAGTGAGCGTACCGCTTGCTTTTGATCGTGACGGAGTTCTTTGATCCCCGTTGGTTGAGTTGTGACAGTTGCCTTTACAAGTTGCTGTTGATCCTCCGCTCACCATTTTACAATATATGTCTCACAAACACTGAACGTACGTGGCCTGGGTTCCCGGTTGGGTGGCGACTCCCCACTGCTGGCGGCCCGTGGAAAAAGCGTGGTCTCCATGCAAAGGGTTCACACAGCCATTGGTTTCCCGCCGGGTGTCCTCCCTGGACACGTGAAGTTATGGTGAATCCTTTTCCCTGGTGTGGAAGTCGCTACCACCATTCCTCAAAAATAGGAGTTCCAGTTACAAAAACATGATAGGTTTTTGCTATAGAGAACCAAGAATTCTGAAGAACATCACCCTGAAAATACATGAATTCTTTGATGTGCCTTTGATTTCTTTCAAACAGTCAGATTGTCTACGGGTTTCTATATACAGGTTTTTGCAAGATCAAAATTTAGGGCTTGGAACAAAATATTCTTGTCAGGAACACGACGCGTATGGTCAAATGGAGCCACAAAACACAATGTTTTCCATCAAACACGACAAACTTATAAGTTTTGGGTTCAGTTGGTATGCTTTGTTGCAGTGAAGCAACTGGAAACCAAAAATGCTGGAGATTGGGTAACCATCAAACGGTGGTGCAAGACCAACAAAGCCCCATGGGAAATGCTAGTGACAAAGGCCATCCAAATGCACCCCACTGGAAAATGCAAGCAGGAACCCTCACAAGAAATTCAGGCGCCCCTGCTTGCCACGGCCCACAGTCTCCGCAGCACTGGCAGAGGGGCGGGATGGCTCAGGCTCAGTTCTCTTGAAGCATCGTGAAGCTGGGGATGGAAAACCAAGTACTCACACTACTTGAAGGCACCAGCGAGGTCATCTTACCTCGAGGTCATCTTACCTCGTTCGAAACAGCGCCGCGAAGCTTATGCTAGGACACGCCACTTTCTGGGCAAGTAGCTCTGTCCAAAGTGCTGTGGCGTTACATCTGTTGGATATTTGTTTCCAGGTGCTGCGCTCAAACCATGATATCAAGCGTACATCGTTGACCTACTATGCAAACCTCTCAATAGCAGCGCGACATGCTTCAAACCATCTGCCGACTAATTGGATGTGAGATACCTTCAAATGGTGGTAGAGTTGACTTAACATGTCTTCACTGCATGTCATTTCATGTCAGTCGCTCTGGAGAACGGCGTTTGAAGGACTCGGTTGGGGAGAAAGGCCCATGTCGCTGTGTCGAGATTGTTCCAAGCAAAGACTCAGATAAGTTGAAGAAACTCGCTGGAAAGTCAGGACTCCCAGAAAAAGGACCACGGACGCATCAGAGTCATGACGTGCCATGTTGATGTTCATCTAAACAGCTACTGAGCTACTGGTGTTTTTGCAGGTTGTCGAAGAAGCAGCTTGGTCCTAGGTCCTAGATATGGGAGAATTGTTCTTTCTGCACTTTCCTTGCCAGGTGACGAAGGCTTCCAAGTCGGGAACATCGTTTTCCATTCACCACTAATTCACCCAGTCCGTGGACAAGACTGGCTGGGGTAGACTAGAAGGGCAAACATGCGACTTCCAAGGCTTTCTTGCAATGCGGCGAAATCGCGGAGGTGGATGCAAGGCTCCGGTAGCCCCCGACCTCCCAAATGTCGAGCGTTACTTGGTGTTTCGCTCGGCTGGGTCGCCCTGGAATTCTTCTTTTTCGATTGGGAGACAGGTGCTTCAGAAGCCGAGGCCAGGCCAAAGCTCAGGTTCTTCATGTGACCCCGTTCTCAGAACCGATCCCTCCCGTTGGGCTCTTTGCAGCCGTCCGCGCGGGAAAACATGACTCCTGCTCTTTCGAGTTCAGATAACGTGCTTCAAGTATAGGGAGAGCTGCGTGTGTACGCTTTCGAGCCTGCGCTTGGAGCTTGGGTGCTAGTGCCGCTGGAGGGTGCCAGCTTCCATTAAGCGTTTAAACGTTGGATCTCCACGGCCAGCAAAGGCTGATTTTGAGACAAGAGCGTAGACCCTAGATAGCATTGGAATCATGGCATTCAAGGTGTCGTGGCTATTTCACACGCGTTTCACAACGCTGCTGAAAACATCCGATGAACCATCATGGACCCAAAGAGATATATGTACACGATACCAAAAACAAGCACACACAGCAGCGGCACCAGCACCCAAGCTCCCAAGCGCTCACAGCAGCGACACCCTGCGCCCTGATCAGCTGAATCATATGCGTCGACACTTCTAGCATTCCCACGGATGACAGCTCCCAAAAACTCCTTATGGCGGTTGTGGACCACCACATGTGGAGATTCATCGCCATAAATTACCCAACAAAGTCCAACAACCACCCGGCAACCACGTTGGTTACACCGAAAAAACATCGCGACAAACACGACCACAAAACCGACACGGTACGACTAGCTGACTGTCCAGTCGTACGTCGGTCACCAAACAAACACCGCCTGAAGAGGGCGTTCAGGGCTGCCTGCACGGTTGGACGAGCTAGATAGTGTGGAGCAAATTGGTGAAAGGCATGCACTGGCACCAGCTTACAAATAAATCGACCCTCATCAATCCCCATCAATCGAAGCATTTCAATCTCAGGTGGGCTGTGCATCCGGATGTCTTCTTTCAACAGTTCTGAAGGTGGAAGAGCTTTTCCTTGATACCTTCTTTGAGGTGAACCGAAACGAACCATTTGGAAGTGATGGAAACGACCGTCCATCACGGCTCGGAGGGAAGAAACGCCTCCCGCCTCGTTTCTCCCGGCATTTTCGCTGTCCTCCACCTTCTCCTCGCAACAAGTCATAACAAGTCCACATATCAGTTAACATCCGGCTGTTGAATCCTCAAATTTGTGAGTCCCCCTATCGTTCTCCAAGGGTTTGGAACCTTGTTCAAAGGGCAACTTGCTTTGAGTCCCCTATCGTTTGCCAGGGTTTGGCATGCCCGCATTCCTTTTTGCCGTTCCTGGGCCGCGATGTTTGACTGTGAGCAGCGACTCACTCCATAGTGAACCAGCCAAACTGGTGATTGGCATGACCCCTTCTAATTAATACTGTGGCTCTGATTGGATTCTGAAGTGCCCCGTGATGGCTTCAACATGAGGCAACTTCAATAGGAAACAGTGCCGTCGCGGTGCGCCGCAGCAACGGCATGTCCTAATCTCAAAGAACTTGCAGACCAACAGCCGAAGGATGTCGAAGGTATCTGATATGGAAAAACATCGCAGCATCTCTCATCGGTCGGCCGGGGCAGCTAGGAAGTCAAGACTCGGGGTCTCTGTTTCTCAATGATTCTCTTCTCCAAAACCGTCAGATCCAACAGGACCATGTCCTTGACACCCGTCCTTGACACCGGTGAGCTTCCGTGCATCCTCCAGGTCTTCGTACATCTTCTCACCAAAGCGGGTCACCCAAACGTTCCTCGACTCGGCGCTTCGGCCGTTTGGAACGCACCGAGTCGTGGAGAGGAAGGCTCCGGAGGGTATGCAGGTCACTGACCGGACGCGTTCGGGCAGAGCGACAGACGCGCGGCGATCCGAGAATTGGCCTCTTCCTTCACCCGAGACCGATCGATGTCGTGCCTTTGAAGGAGTCCGAAGGATCTTGGGATTGACCCATCTGAGTGACAAGCATGGGTTCGACCCCTCGTGTGAAGGTAGCCCATGGCGATCATTTGCAAAGCCGATACTTGTTCCCTTGCCAGGCACTATACCGACTATACCTCTGTTTTTTGCAGCACAAAGACAAATCAGCTCTGTTGAACAGGAGCACTGGGAGTTAGAGGGAAACACGACCTCCATGACATGCGACGAAATCAGGGAACACAGGACCATCATCCCAGTGGTCCTGTCAAGGAATCCTCCAGGTCCATCCCAAAGTTCCAAAAACAGCAAATGGCACTGGTAAAAGAAACAGCCTCCGTTGTATTCTCAATCAATATCTAACAGGCCTGTCTTACCCAGCTTCCCACACGTTCGCTCCAAATCGGGTGCCGCATGTTCATCGCCCAGGCGTCTTGTTCATCGCTGTCTCGCGGTGCCTTCGGACGATCTCGGAGACGGTGTGGAACTGCCGCTCTTGCTCTGCCAAGTCCTCGAAGACACAGCACCGCGAGTGTGGAGCTTGAAAGCTTCGACGGATGATCTTTGAGATACTTGAGGTATTGAACATGTATTGATTTATAACGGCAAACAATACCTCTAGAGGATTTCTTTGGAGGGTGTCGAGGACACATGCGATCAGTAACTGTCAGGCGTTGCACCAATGCACTCAAGCTCTTGACAGCAGCTGAGTCTTTGACCGCTCTGATTGACTTGACGGCCGGGCTTGTTATGGACCACAAACACAAGTGTGATCGGCTTGTGACTATTCGCTTCCCCTGTCTTTGAAACTGGAAGAGAAAGGAATTTACAAATGTGAGTTTCGTACCAGCTGTTTCGAGAGTCGAAACAATTCAGCAGCCCTCTTTCTTGAACCAGTCTGGAAACTCATAATTTGTAGATTGAATTGATTGAAGTGATTGAATATTCATCATCAGCAAGATCTGTCAAAATCAAACCCTTTGTGGGTTTGGGATTTCAGCACACTGAGGGCAACTGTCATGTCGGCTTCTCCTCAGGACTTGCCTCTGGAGGCTTCGCCTGCCCACATTCCTCAGCATCCGTGAAGGCTTTGCTTCATGACGTCCACAGCCATAAATGATTGGCTTCGGAAGCGATTGGAACGTCCAGCATATCGATCCTCAAAATACGTTGAAGCTTCATGCACGGAGTCAAACATCCAGGAACTATCTTTTCTTGTCAATTACACACTGCCAAATAAATGCCAACTGAGCAAACAAGAGAAGCATAATGCAACCATCCAACTCGAATGTGAATCCTGCCCAAATACCGCATTCAAAATCATGACGGCATACAAAAGCTTTCATATGGATCTGGTGGATGTCTCTAATTCTCATCGCCTGAGTCTTCATAATCACTAGCTACCTGTCTGCCACTGAGTGATTCTAGCTTTCGATCGATTCGATATGCTCATGGCTGATGATTCATAATGATTCATGATCTCGCATGTTCCCTCCAGATCATTACATTTCTGGTTCCAGCCAGGGCACGTGCTTGTGGTTCACCCAATGCTTTCGTTGGCACTCGCGTGTGCAATACCTGCTCGAGTGAACAACACATGTTTCGCTTCAGGTTTTGACCCACGGCCCTCTACACAAAGACGTTGTTCCAGCAAAGTGTGTGTGCTAAATCACTAGTGGAAACTCTGAGTTTGGCTAGTTGGAGGCCATCGCTAGTAGGTTGGAAGCCATCGCTAGGCTGGAAAAGAACCGTGTGGAAACTCTGAGTTTGTTGCTCCTGCTAGATTCGACATCTTGCCACGGTGCCAGAATGATCGGCAGCCGCTGCATTGCTTGGAAGCTGGCGACAAGCACATCACGCAGGGTGTGCCCGCCATCGCGTGATTGGCCAATCGCAGCGGTGGTGTTGCTTTTTCTTACGTTTTGCTCATCCCATCGATCTCTGTTAGGTTGGTGGATGTAGCTGTTCTGACCAGTCTGCACGCATCGCGGACATGAGACATGTGGACGGCAATGAGCAAGACATTCGTTAAAAATCAGCTCAGCTCCGCTCTTCTGGAGTCTCTATCTATGCCCTCCTTGAGTCACTGATGGACCCAGATCGCCGGAGTGGATCGCATGTCGTGCCCGGTGCCGTTCCAGCGCTCCCCACCGGTCTGTGGGTAGCCCCTAAGTCCCTTGTCGTTCCGGAAGTTCGCCACCGACCGCTTCAACTCCCTCCACCGAGCCCCACCGGTTGCCCTTCACGGTTGGGCCAACCCGAACACCAAAAGGACCAACCCGAGTGGCCGAGGAAAAGCAGCAACACTCAAAGATTCTGACCCACTTCAGCGAAACACCACATGACCACATCACGCCATGGGACTGCCAGCGACTGCCAATCAGTTGGTCAATGGGGCGGAATATATGGCAGTTGCATGGAGTGGCATGACCACATCACCCGGTGACATGGGGTGACCTGACATGAAATCACTCGACAAAAGCTTGAGCTGACGGAGCACACGACACACATGACTGGACCTGCATCATGGGGATGTCTCAAGGGCGTGTGTCCTTTAAACATATTTGCACATGTTGGCTACTACTACTCAACACAAGTGTTGAGGATTGTAAACAAGAAAACAACACCACGTAGCATAGGAGATACCCATGTAAGACAATCCAAATGGAACCAACATATATATCAAAAGATATTGCTTCCCACATTGATCGCTGAAGGCGTCCCTTTTGGTAAATGCAACCACTACGGTCTTGGCACGAAAGATAACACATATCCTGAGTAGTATAAGAGTCAACCACCCACCCATATGATATCCACCCCACACCCAAAACAGTTCTCATCACTGCCTGGGATCTCTTTTCCCCACGGCGCTAAATCACCTCCTACCCAGGCGCGCCGGGCGCGCGCCAGGCAAACAACCGCGCGGTGGTTTCCCGTGTGGAAAACCTGCTGGCCGCAGCCAGAAGGAGTTTTCAGTATATTGGGAGTGATTCAAAAGGCCTCACATGGCGGCTTAAGTGGTCACTTTTGCATCTGAGCTTCTTTGGATGAAGTTCAAATGCACATAAAGCTGAGGACGACAGAACACGTGTGAGGATCTTCTAGATCTCTCCCACTCTTCCTTCCCACGAGGTCAAGGAGGTCCTGACCACCTTTAGTTCATACAATTTAACGAATGTAATGAACTCATGCAACATATATTATGAGCACAAAAGAGTTCTTCTGTTCACTGGCCTTTTGCTCACTCTGATCATCTCTGATCCTTTGTCCTTCTTTTGCAGGTTCTCCTCGCGGTCCACCTCCAGACCACAGTCTGGACCACTTTTCGCCCGTGGAGGCGAGCGGAGCTGAGTTCAACGGAGCTGGCCCTTTCGACTGATGCGATGCGGAAGAAGGAACTCCCATTTTGGTCGCTGCGACCGCGACCTTGCCATGGTGATGTTGGTGATGTGGTTGGGCGACAGACTTGGATTCCAACTCAGTGTAGAAACGATGGACTGTCTGTTCCTGAAAGATGGGCATTCGTTGACGGAAACACATATGTTTAAATGTATCTACCACTCGCAATTCTTGCCTGGACACGGACCTTCTCCGCTCCCTCCCCACCAGGGTCCCCGGTGTTCGGAGCTCACGGTCCCCGCATCGGTCACCTGCGCGAGCCACCGAAGGGCCAAGAGAAACCAAGCTGCAGAAGCGACGTTCGTGCTGTGTCCTTGCTGCAAGAAAAAGGTCATGGCCTCCTACCGGGTTCGTAGCTTCTTAGCTACTGTTGATGCGTGACTGTAAGCAATTCTAAGGAAGGATCCAAAAGTAGGACTAGGACCAGGACCTATATACTATCATTTGGGCCATTCTAGGACTGCATAGTTCCGCTAGCCACCGCTAGTCTCAACATCTTGACCCCAAGCTGAGACTCCATCATGGGCAATTCTCACAAACATGGGAAACCCCTAAGGTGGCAAACCCCAAAAACACCTTTGGAGCGTCCCATCTCACCACGTTGTCCCATCTCGATCTGCCTTAAGCTTCCGTCTTCTGTCCTGAGACCGCAGCAACATGCGGACCAGGTCGATGGACATGAACTCGCTTGGTGTGTCTGCTTCCGGGAAGTGTTGTTTGTTCCATGTTATTTTCAAAAAAATCACCACATCGCTCCGTATTGTGAGGAAACGGGTTTTGTGTGTATGCAACCCCACATCGCTCCCAATTATTGGATGTGTTTTTGTTCCACTTTGGCACGGCCGTGGTGGCTGGTGGCGGTTCGGACCCGAACGCGGTGGTTCCTCGGGTGTCCCCGTGGCGTGGCAGCCGGACCGAGTGACCGAGTCGCGTAAAGATCCGGGTCCGCTGAGGATGGAGGCCATGGCTATTAGGTTCTCAGTTGAGGTGGAGGGCCACCTGGTCCACAGGTCCACTGGTTGAGGTCCAGTTTGCACTTGCTATTGAACATGCGATGCCGTGCCTCGGCATGATGAAAAGGGTTCCGTCTCCACACTTCGCTAGTAGGTTGGAGGCCATCGCCAGGGTTTCTGTCTCCACGCTTCGCTTTGTTTTTCAAATGCCAGATTTAGGGTTCGATGCTCGACTTCGAGCAGTCAGTTCACATGAGATGCACCCAAGGACTTGCATCCCCGTCAGAACATCATCACTTCCGGACTGAACTTAGTTTGACCCTCCTGACTGACTGACTGACCGACCTGTTTTGCCAGGTAGGGCCTCAAACCGACATCGTGAGGCGGACCATCATGGAGCTGACCATCGTTTTGGTGCGCACCATCGCCCGCCGAACCTGAGGCCTCCAGCGTTTTCCAGGAGGAAAGCACTCATGAGGGTTCGCCTGGCGAAAAGGAACCACCCAGACGCTCCAAACAGCTCTTGGTCCCTCAAAACCCTAGGGATTTAAGGGTCCGGACCCCTAATTACTTAGGAGGGTCCGGCCCCTACTTAGGAGGGTCCATGAGCGTCTGGGCAAACGCAAACAAAGGAACAACCGCTTGCCCAAGTTCAAACATATCAACTGACTGGAAAAATGTGTACAGCACTCAAAGAGTTGGGTACCCTGTGTGACCTTCAGTAAGTTTAGTACTAAGTAATAACAAGAATTCTAGGGGCTCCTGGCATCGCTACTAGGAACAAGAACGCTACGAACGGAGCTCCTGGCCTTACTACTAGGAACAAGAACGCTACGAACGTAACAAGAAGCTACAATCCAGCTACTTGGAACCACTGAGACACCCGTGCCAGCGACAGGTGGCTCAACATGGCTCAACTGCGTAAACCGCCCACCAGGGTCGCATTGGTCGGTCTGTTTGATGAACCAAACATGCAGTCTCAACAGACTTCGTCCCACCCAATACCTTTTTCAGAAGCTGCGAAGGATTCCGCAGGGCTTCCACCAACTTTGGCTTGCAACATCTCTGAAAGTCCGCCCAGCGAGCTGCGCCCCCCAGCCTTTGCTGGCGCCTCACCAAAAACCTTGGAAACTGGGAGTTGGTGGTTTCGGGCCGCTTCCGGGGATTGTGGCGGACAACAAAAACGAATGAGAAACACCTGTGTCATAGATCAGTTCTACCGGAATCCTCTATAAGACTATAGATCGAGATGTTCCAACAACGATCATAATTATGATGAGAACCTGTCAAATCCATTAACAAAAATGCAACAGTTCACATTATAAGTTTATGTCTCTTCTTTCAACAAGTTGCATTGTTCAACTGCTGGCTGCAGCGGATGAAGGTCGTCCTCTTCGGCAGCTCCCGCAACGTGGAGGCGCCCACGTACCTCACCAGACAGATGCGACAAGGACCTTACCGGGGTACCCAACTGGGATAGTCTAGTTCAGGTCCTTCAACCTCTGTTGGTAGGTCTTAATAGGTGTCGAACTCCGTCGCGCGCTCAGATCCCTCCCTCCCCCGGGCTCACGTGCATGCCGAGCGTACACCTCCCTGCAGGTCCCGGATGGTCTCATCGATGGGACCACGGTAGGGCACCTGACCGATCTGATCGACCGCACGACCGGATCATCGTGGGGTTCGAGTTGGATCGTCGATCCACGGGCGGCGGCGTGTCCCGGTTTTGAGATGAAGTAGCAGAGGTGGTTGGAGGTGTTCGAGCCACATGCTTGTGCTGGGATGGAACTCTGATTGCTATTATACAAAACAATTCAAAACACTACGGCCTACGGAGTGCAGTCTAATCAATTCAAATGTCTTGCAACAAACTGGATAACGCTACACTCTTCAAATCCAAATCTCACACCTGAACTGATCTCAGATGCATCAGTGGAATCATGTTGAATCCCATCTCTGGTCAATCAGTTTCCGTCGTCCTTTACCCTGGCCATCAAATCCAGCTTGCTACAAGCCACTGAAATCCACCAGTCCACTCCACGCTCCACACGCGTGTGAGCTATGGTAAGCTCATTTCGGGTGCAAACAGGTGAGCATAAGGGCAGCATCGATCAGCTCTGGTTATTTAACAACACTTAGCACATGCTCTGTGAACAGGTCCGCTTCTGCCAGACCCCTATTATCGATAGAGAACGAACATGAACGAGTCATGTTGAAAACCCGTTCCATCAGATTCCCCTCTTCTTCCTGAGAATCAGAGTTTGGGGGGCCAGCACCGTCTGTCCTCCCCGTCTCACCGGACGTCCCGCCTTCACCGTCTTGCCCTCGGACGACCGGTACTCTGCCACACCACCCGCATGCTTCTGGCGGCGTGTCGGCGGGCGAAGGATCAAATGTTCATCAATGTTCAGGATGCGAAAAACTTCTATCATGTCCAGTTTGCACTTGCCTAGGTTATTGAACACGCGATGCCCAGTAGCGATGCCAGGAGCCCCTAGTAGCGTCCTTGCTCCTATAGTAGTAAGGCCGGAGCCCCGCCTAGTAGCTTCTTGTTACTAGTAGTAAGAATGCTCCTAGCGATGCCAGGAGCCCCTAGTAATATGTTCAAAGACGTTTGAAGACCTCCTGTGAAGCTGTTGTCTTCGGAATTGTGAAGGAAGACTTCATTCAATCCCAACTTCAATGTTCAAAGTTTTTGTGAAGACTTTTGAAGTTGGTGAGCATAGGTGCCTGCCCAGGTGACGGACGCCTTCGTAGAACATGGGGATAGTAAGAAGTTCTCAAGAGAAACAGGCCGAAGCTGTCTTCTGGGCTAAGAACCGCAAGAACCCAATAACACATCTGGAGAAGTCTGGAGAAGCTAACTTGTCCGTTTTTGTGGTTGTTTTTCATAAAGGGGTCTCCTCATACACCAATGGCTGTTGCTTACAAGATATTACAAGTATACAGAGTCTGAGTCTGCCATGGCGATCAAAAGTGGAGGAGTTTGCAGATTCTTCTGTTCAGCTCCAACATGCTTGCAGATTCCAAACCATCACTCCGCGAAGGGCACAGAACCCTGTGACAACGGAGACAAGAAGCCTGTGCTTCTGACCGAGACACGAAGAAACCTTACAGATTCCCAGATTGATAGCAACCCAGTTAACAAAAGAGACTCTTCAGCACATCCCTGATCCTTGGCATCCACAACGTTTGATTGAATTAATGGTCCAACACCACTCCCTCAGCGCCTTCATGGCAGTGTCGCTGGACATCCCGTAGAAGACCTCGCAGCGAGCCGTGGCGGGACTCTAACTCAGTCAGGCTGACCACACGGTAGCTGCCCGGTGTACGTTCCCGCATGGTCAGGCATGGTCGAATCGCACCAAGCGCTACCCCTCTGTTCAGCCGAATCGGTCCGTTCGGTTCAATTCGGAGCCAAGAAGAACTGGTCGCTCGGCGACTTCGGCGCGTTGCGTAAGAGGCGAAGGGTTCCAAAACCATGCAACGTCTTGGGCTGAAGGCGCGATGGTCACGAGCGACCAGCTCCGCGCCTTAAAGAAGTGGCCATTCTCCTCGATGGTCTGCAAACAGCGAGGAAGATCCGGTGACTGCTGGGTAGACAAACGTTGGATCTGTTGTTCATCAATCCAAGGTTCATTGTGCTGATCTGGATTCGGTTGTTTAACAGCCGCATGTTCAAAGGGGTATGCCTGCAAGGCACGGCCAAATCTCTCAACAACCAAGACATGCGTTGATAAGTCAATGATGGTCAATTGTTCGGCCTTTTTTTCACTTCATGGCTCTTCCACAAACGTCCAGCAGCGCTGGCAATCCCGAGGCCCGGCAGAGACTCTGCGCCACCGGCCCCTGCCAGGAGGGCCGTCGCGTGAGCACCGCACAAGGCCGTGGCCCCGGGTCCAGCGGGGCCAATGGAGCGGTGACACCCGGCGAGATTGGCAGAGTGCTCACGACCTGCGGGCAGCTCTTGTCATGAACGAAGGAGGGGATGGATTGGAGAAGGAAAAGATTGAATGCGAGAAAATCCATCAGTTCGGGGCAAATCAAATTGTTTTCGCAACAAACCAAGAAGGGCTAGTTACATCAAAACATATCCGTTTCGTACTCTGCTTCATGTGAAAAAATTACTTATATACAGTATTTTTCCCGAGTCTGGAAGATGCGCCCAGGCTCACAGACCCTCCAGGAATTGCAGTCTTGCCTGCCGCACCAGCTCTGCTGCGTCCTCCTCGCTGATGGCGCCCGCCACCAGGGCCTGAGAGGAGGCGCCATCCACGCTTCGCCACAAGGCTTGAGACTCCTGGCAGCGGAGGTGGGCAAAGACCATTCCATCCAAAGCACTGTTGGCTCTTTTGGGCGGTGCTAAGTGAAGCACAAAGGTAAGATGCAGCCCTGCGAGTTAGCGCAACTCACACACTCACAGCAAGATGGTAGGTGTCTCAGGCCTTACTCTCATCTATCTGAACAGCAGTGCTATACTATAACACTGGGTTTCAGTCGAAGTTCCAAGACACACAGGCCAGCTGGATAAGGCATCTTGGATGAACTTACCGAATCACCCTGTGGGACAACAAAGACCACGAGATGGATATAGGAAATCCCTGAATCCCAACCCTATAGTACTGTCAAGGGCAGGTGAGGAAAAAGAAACGGGAGGCACCCAATCTTGAGCCAAAGTGGTATCAAGATTGGTGTTATAACACTTTATGTTTCGAATCTCAATGTGTCCCCTCCCAACCAACCATTCACAATGAGCATCAATGCTCGATAAGTATAATAACACATATTAAGAAATAACACCATGCAAATGAAATAACACAACATATTCCAAGGCAACCAATTGAAGTTGATTAATGGGGAATCCTTCACATTCTCACGTGTTGGACTCTGGACTTGCCCTCTTAGCTAGCCCCCCAGCTCCTGCTGAACATCTTCAATCCTCAGCTGCTTCAAAAAGGACTTCAGTTCCGCCTCGGCGCGCCTGGCCGCGGCGCCTTTGGCGGCGCCCTTCGTCAGCTCCGCCAGCGCCATGCGGCGCACCACCTCCAGCTGCTCCGCCGCGGGCCCGGTGTGCCGTCCGATGGCCAGCGCCGCGTCGGTGGCGAAGCGCGGCAGGTTGTCGGAGAAGGCCTGGAAGGAGAAGCGGACACCTGCCTCGCTGGGAGAGGTGGTGAAGAAGGCACATTCCCAACGACATCCAGCCAAGGCAGCGGAATAGAAAGGGCTTTCGAGTGCCAATTGTAAGGATTTCAACCACATCCGTCCAGCTGCGCGAGATCTGGGAGATGCATCCAGGATATTTTGCGCTGGTAGCCAGAGGGTCAAGGTCACCACCGGTTCATCGCCCAGCGGTTCAACGCGCTCGTTGAACTGTCCAGACACGTAAACACAGCCGGGAACCACCCACAAAGCTTCTGGGATGGCAGAAGCTCCAGCGTTCGGAACTAAACGAGCTCGACAAGCTTCCGACCAGAGAACGCCATTGAAGCCCGTTTTGCTTTTGATGGACTCCTTGGCAAGACATCGAGAATCGGAGGAGAGCATACATGAATCAAATCACTAATTGATCCCAAATCTTATCATCATTTTTACACACATACCACACATACATACAACTGTTCATTCTGCAAGTTTGTGGCTCTGGTATCTTCGGATCCGGCTTTGCCTTTGGCTTGTTGATCCTATCCGCTCTGGACAAGTAGACGTTCAGGGGCGGCGCGCACCACCATGACGCCGGCCCACTCGTGAGCCACTCCGCGGCCTCCGTGCGTCGGAAGGACAGCTCACCGAAGGGCAGCTGCAGGTTCTCGTCCCGGCGGCGCCGGAGCTCCCAAAGGCCCAGGCGTGCAGACGTCGCGCTCGTCGCGAGCGTCAAGCGTGCCCGGCGGGGCGTTAGGGAGGGGAAGACCTTGCCCAAGGCCTCGGTGGCTTAGAACACATGGAATGCCGCTAGTGGGAGCAAGGACGCTACTAGGGGCTCCTGGCCTTGCTACTAGGAGCAAGGACGCTACTAGGGGCTCCTGGCCTTGCTACTAGGAGCAAGAACGCTACTATAGGCTCCTGGCCTTCCTACTAGGAGCAAGAACGCTGCTAGAGGCTCCTGGCCTTGCTACTAGGAGCAAGAACGCTACTATAGGCTCCTGGCCTTGCTACTAGGAGCAAGGACGCTGCTAGAGGGTCCTGGCCTTACTACTAGGAGCAAGAACGCTACTAGAGGCTCCTGGCCTTGCTACTAGGAGCAAGGACGCTGCTAGAGGCTCCTGGCCTTACTACTAGGAGCAAGAACGCTACTAGAGGCTCCTGGC